ATCAAGTGAAACCTATGTATCCGGGATTATGTATATAATGTTTTCACATATATATGATACGTGTATTCTTTACCCTTTTTATTTACATACATACACCCATTTACTACATGGACAATACATCGTGTAGTAAGTGACAAATAGTAGTCCATAACTTTATTTGGTAATACAACATCTGAGTGAATATAAAGACCTCACAAAAGTAACCACTATGAAATAAAAATACTAGTTGGTAAAATTATCCCAAAATTAACTGTTCTCAGGTGTGTGATTTATGATACAGTATGTCAACTGAGGGAGTTCATGTTTTGTTGTTGAAGCCCTTAACATCCAGTAATAGGCACTTGCACAACAAATTCGCAAGACTAGCTTGGGAAATCTGACCACTGAATGGTAGAGTAATGGGTTGTGTTTTTAGCAATTTTCAACGGGCATATCATATCCAATTCAAGATTTACTTCTTGGGGAACGGATGTAGCCGAATGGTAGCCATTTACTGGTTATCAAACATCATTAAACTGTATAGATTACTCTGCAGTATATGCATGAAATTCTCCATGGTTCATGTAGTCTATGCGACAAGTAGGGATTCAACCAGAAACAAACTAGAGTTCTTGCCAAGGCAGAGTTCCTGTCAGCAGAAGCAGCAGAGCATATATTTCGATTGAGTTCAACCAAATATTGGAGGTCTGATTCGTTTGCCCAACAAACAATGTTTGTTTTGAATCGACCGCCCAATTTCAGATGATTCTCATCATGTTTCATCATGTTTCATCATGTTTCATCATGTTTATCCTTGACCCTCCGGTTATCAACTATGGCAGCGATGGCATTTGAAAATCCTCTACTGTATCAATGAACCATTTTTTTGTGGAATTCACCTATCCATGGGAATAAGAAACCCATTGCCATATTTGATTATATAGTGGAGGTAAAGTGTCATTTGTTTGTATCCCCGATTTTCAGACAAGCCCGTGTGGGTGTCAAACATGTACCAGACCTCCCCGCCCAGATGCCAATGCCAATGGGGAAGTGACGCCTGATTCGAGCACGGTGACCAGGCCAATGTCAACAATGGGCTGGTGAATGTAGCAACGTAAGTAGCCATGGATCACGTTACCCATAGCAAAAACCCAAAACAGAGGGCAAAAATACCCTGGGTACCTGAAAACACGGGTAAAACATTATCGCAATACCATCCTGGAAATGTGTTTTGGCATGATTTTGTGTATAGTGACACAGTCTTGAATGTATCATGAATCGATTCATGCATTGAGAGGGTTTGTTCTACATATAAAATATGTATATATATATATAAATATATATACATCATATCCATATAATTATTTGGCTGAACAAATGCTGATCGTATCCAAACATTTATCAGCAGACCTCAAACAAAATAAACGTTACCTTGGGTTTGCGAAGATTCTATGTATGTATATATATATACATATTTAGAGGGCAGTCACAGAAGTATGAGATGATGCAGTCTTGGTCGCATGAAGGGTGGCTCCGCACAGGTCCCGGCAGCCAGATGTGTTGGCATCGTGGCAAGAACTTGAAGAGGACCAGGGCGATCATTTTGGACATTGAATAAATCTCTGCTCGACTCGCCATCACCCTGGTGTTCCCAATTCTTGACACAAAGGGGTTGACACTCTAGTGATGCCAGGTGAGGATGATCATACAAGATGCGGTAATCAACCATGGCAATGGAAAATCCTCAATTTATAGATGATTTTCCCATCTCATAAAAACCTGCATTGAATAGAGGGGATCTTCAAGTGACATGCTTGATTAGAGGCTAATTCCTGTAGTAACTCCTGTAAGAAGTAGCACCACTTTCTCCCCCAAAACGAAGATTAAAAATAAAAAATAAAAAAACATCCGTGAGGAAGTGCAAAAACATCTCGTGCGCTTGGAAGCGGAGATCTTATATCGTCCCTTACGGACCAGGTGCAGGATCCAGCCATTGGTGATGTCGATTCAACCATTACTTATAGGGATTCTAGCCATCCAACTTAGATTGGTTAGGGGATGCATGGTGATCAAACGCCATTTTTTTAAATAGGGATTCTAACCAACATAGATCTAGTTGACTGATGGTTGGTTAGATCGGTTAGGGGATTGTACTACCTGGTTTGAAAGGGGATACCTTAATTTGTTTCACCATATAATATAAAGGGTGAACGGCTATCATTGATACGGTTAACGGCTATCATTGATACAATTCATTAAAGCATCCTTGAGTTGATGACTTATTGTGAGTTGTGTCTCGGTGTAAGTAAGTGTTAAATAGTGGACAATCGATACGTTTGATGATGATGACATTGTTGCTTACGCCATTTACAGTCCAACCTTTTTTTTGTGTGTTTTTTGGGTCATGATAAATTTGATCGATTCCGGGTTTGCCCCAACCCATTTTTGGGGAATGATAACGAATTTGGGATGTTGAGGGCAACTCTTTTTGGCAACTTCCAGGTTTGTTCTGATGAACTCCGGTGTTTGGCTGATATGTTTAGTTGATTCAAGTAATGCAAAACTGAATTGATTGGGTACTCGTATATAAGTCCTTACTTTGGTTGCATCACACACTACCTTTACACTACCTCTTGTTCCTTTCGTTCTTCCGTTCTTTATTTCTTTCATGCAAAGGGTCAGTCAAAAGTCCACACAGTTTTAGTCTACATTCTTGCTCAAAAGGTCACACCAACATTTGTGTCTGATTGTTTCGTAGGTTTAACACCCTTTTGTTGTTTGGTTATCTTCATATGTTGCAAACAAAAAACATCATCAAACGAGCAGTTTCAAACAAGCAAATTATTAGCCTACCCTTTATATGTTGGGCTTCTCATAATAGCTTAGGGGATTTTCCGATGGTAGGTGATGCTTATATTCCTTCAATGCAACACTTAAATCGGTGAACTGAGAATTTCAACCAGCATTTCATGGAATGACAGGTTGAGCCCTATATTATATATTATTTGTTTTCTGGATACGCTGACATTTAGCCAGGAGATGAATTGTGAGGTTTGCAACAGCATTTGGCACTTTGGCATATCCCATGCACTTGATTGACCGTAGTCACGTTTCACAGCATTTGCTATAGTTGGGTGAGGATTTTGTGCTCGAAGTACTCATTGCTTTGCCGGACTTCACTGGGATTATAGGTTTGTTTCATGCTGTTTTCATGAATCCCAATATATGTTTTATATTATAGTTCTACGTATATATATATATACATATATATATATATATACGTATACAAATATCCCTTCGTTGTTGGTCATATATTCCCCTTGCCAGTGAATCCCTCTGCATTTCCCTGCCGAAAACGCAGACCCAGCGATACACACGTGGCCCTGGAGATGTTGAAGGACGGAGGGTACAGCTGTGGGTTTGTCTGAAATGATGGGAATCCATGGGAATCCATTGTAATTGGTGGTACCAAATTTTCAGGAAAAGAACGCATTTGTAGAGATATATTATATATATATATATTATATATATATTTATATAGATAGATGGATGGATGGATGGATAGATAGATAGATAGATTGATTGATTTACACATACATAATACACATATAGCTATATGTGCGCAAAATATTCATGGGTGGGATACAGTGTGGTTGTTTTTTTCAGGTATTCCCCGAAGTCTTTCCTGGGGTATTCCCCGGTTTGGAATGATTGGATGCAGTGTTCAGGAGCATCTTCAGCACTGGATGTGTTTTGATGATGACCTGAATCCAAAGTTTGAAGCAACCCTTCTGTGGATCACCATGCCAGATAATCCAGAGTAATCCTCTCCCCCTAATACTAAGCACCCACCCTCCCGAAATAATAAACACGTCAGGTAGTTTTTATTATTAGTGGGTATTTATTATTAGGGAACCAAAGTGGACCCTAATAATAAATTAAAACCCTTAAGAAAAAGAATTATATTTTGGATGTCAAAATCAATTAAATTTCAAATCATAACGCAATTAAAATATTGCCAAAAATTCGATGTCGAAGCAGACCCTAATTATAATTTTAAACACTGAATAAAAAAACTTGTTTTTGTTCGATTTCAAAATCAATTGATTTTCCGTTTATAACGCATTTAACATATTACCAAGAATTGGATTTCCAAGCGGACCCTATAATAGTAAATTAAAACCCTTGATGAAAAAATGCGTTTTTCGATTTCAAAATCAATAAAAATTCCTTTTATAACCCAATTAAAATATTGTCAAAATTGGATGTCGAAGCTTCCCCCTAATATTAAATTAAACACCCTAATTTAAAAGACTAGAATTTTCGGACGGACCCTTCAATAAACACCCCTGGGCTGACTAGTTTTTATTAGTAGGGCGTGAAACCCACGAATAGTAGCTTTATTTTTAAATTGTGTTCTAAAGGGGATCACTTAAAAGTCAAATTGGCCAACCTGAAATTGTCCAAAATTGGAGATGGACCCTAGTCTTTATTATTCGGGGGGCTTTAGTAATAGGGGGAAGGGATTAAATTTCAATCAGTTCTCACAGTTTCCATCAGCCTCCTTTGTTTGTAAAAGGTGACATCAGTACAAAGTCATACAAAGTCTGAAATTATGATTCATGCAGCCGAATTGTCTATGTAAAAAGTGCTGGAACAAGAGGAACGCCAGAAATGGAGATGCAGCTTCATAGGCACAGAGAAACATGTGGAACACTCGCGGAAACTACCTGCTTGACAAGGCATGAAGACCAAAGCACTATCTATACAACAATCAGATTTAGGTGGATACGTAATGTACAGATATATATCATTTGACAATCAAGTCAGTCAGCTTAACTAGAAACACATTGATTAGTTCATGAGAGACGCCTAATTTGGAAGGTATCCGTTAAATGCCATATATGGAGATTGCAACATGTCACTTGCAACTCCAAATTTCCTAGCTCAAGACCGCACCCTAACTTACCAAAAGCACCCAAATGTTTGATAACTGACCCTGTGGCGTCTTTTGGTGCAGCAACACGGCTTTCCCATCTGCCATGGCCTTCTGCCACCAATGATACCTCTGCCGCCAGCATTTCCAGCGCCACCACCTCCACCTGCTGCACCAGCACTACCACTGCCACCAACTCCAGCATTGCCACCTGCTCCACCAGGGCCGTTTGCCCAAGTACCACCACCCCCAGCATTTGAAAGCGAAATTTGGGGTCCTGGAGTGGCGGCGTTCGTGCAAGAAGCTCGCCGCAGTACTGGAACTGTTTTTTGTTTCAGAAGAGGGGCGTTCAAGATGGCAAAGGGAGGTACCCTATGCCCTATGTTACTTTAACATCACTTTATATATATATAACATTATGTAACTATGACCATTTTTTCAATAGATGTTGCTGTAAATCATCTAGAAATAGGCTGTGAATTTTTCACAAGCTACCTTAGATTGCCGGAGGGTAGCCGGCTGGGTCGCTTTGGACATGGATCGATTCCGGGTCATGACTCCAGCTGTACCTTCTGAGGAAGTATTATATGGCTATGAGTCAAAAACCTAGCGACCCAAATGCTACTCTAAAATAGCTGATTACTGGAGGCTTATAGTAAATTCATAGGTTTTTGACCCTTCCAATATAAAAGTACTTATAGGCTTACAGGGTATCATTTGGGGACTGATTTGTACCTTCTCAGGAAGTATTGCTGGATCCATAGGCATGATTGGCTCTTCACAAGTCCGAATCCTGGTCGGTCCGAACTGGCATCCTGTAGCTATGATTTGTTGGGTCGTTTGTGCTTTGCGCTGGATATCCTTTGGTAAACTAGCAGAAGTATGGATAATCACCACCTTTGTTAGATAAATCAACTTTAGATGGACAATTTTCAACAGCTATGTTACATGTCATTCTATGTTAGTTTACCGGAGGGTCCAGTTGAAGTAACTTGAAGACATCACTGAACTTTCTTAAGAAGTGATGATCACGCCAGTACTAACAAATTCAGTCAATGATTTGCTCGCTTCACCATGTCCAGTCATGTCCCATTCTAAACACCATCTTTCAAGCCAGCCGACACTGACCAAATCCACAACACGCATGTATAATTCAGACTTCACCTAAGAATGTTACGGCAAATCCCTTTGTTGAAATAATTATGTTGAAATCACTTGAAACCAATGTGCTGTAGTCCAGGTCCCTGTTCAACCTGCGCAATGTCTGAGGAAAAGGCAATCGAAAAACTTCAATCTGCCATCGGGACTAGCTACCTCGAGCTGAAAGAATGTTTGCGGGAAGATACTGTTGGTCAGAATCATGTGGCTTGGATGCACTTGTGTTGAGGCTGTCGGTTGTCCTTATCAAAATATATATTTAATAATATAATATACATATATATATATATATATCATATCGTATCATATGTTTATATATTTATATATATATTTGATATAGATATACAATTATATACATATATACATATGATAGACACATTATATATATATATATTCGGATGTTCCCCTTCCTTGCAACAGTGACCACAACTGGACAGCACAAACGGAGCGCCACAAAAATAAATTGAGTTTATCTCTGATCAGAAGTCCCAACATACAGCCATGCTCAAATCAGAAAACACTGTCTTTCCACTACGCCTGCGGAAGCTCCATTATATATAATATATAGATACATCATTCAATCATGTTGCAAGTTGCAAGCTGGTGCCCCCCAGTAGTAAGTCGGTTTATAAGCCTCATTGATTATTGATATACATACGTGTACATTGATATACCTACGAGAAATCCCCGAGAATTCGTCGTTTTTTGAATTCTAGACCAACTTAGCTAGGAAAATGTGTCCCCGGCAATTCTGGGAAGATGATGTCCCATGGTCATGCATGGTCAGGAATGGCTTGAAATCAAAGCACTTCGATGTGAAGAACAACTTCGCGAAGTCCTTGATCCTTGGGAGTCGATGAGTTTTCGAAGTTTCCCACCAACGATGATCCCTCAATCGACTTTCATCAACAACACAGTAGTTTATACTTACTTTTTTACTGGGGGAAAACCAATAATAACCTACCATTTGGGGTTTGTTTTTTTGCATTTTTTTGCAACCCATAAAATGGTGATTTTGGAGATGTTGTTTTGAAGGGTTTACAGTATTTTACAGTATAACATTAGAAATAATGTTTTTCTATTTATTGTATATTTTGTGGATTGGTTGAAACGAAACGATCCAGGATTTCATTCGCGGTTTTGGCAGCGGCAATACCCTGCATGAAGGAATAGCTGTGGCTGCCCCGGAGGATGTCTTGGAATTGTTGCTGGGCAACGCTCCCCTTAAACCCTGGTGCAACGTATTATAAGGTTGCTTCAACCAACGAGAAAGATCGGCTATAACTGGGAATATAATTGGGGAACCATCATTGATTTGGGGAGTCTGATATCATGGTTCTGTTTATGGGTTGTATTCTCACATGGGATTACATAGGATGACGCATTCACCCCCAAAAAAAGGATCCTGGAATGGTCATAAAGAAGCATCAAAGATGGTCCCTGCTGTCATGTTGTTGCAAAATTTTGCAAGGCTCAATGAATACTTTGCAGATCTTTGGAGGATGGGTGAACGATGGACATTGCTGCAATGAGTTAGCGGACATGACACCATCGACTAAAGCTCGAAGTAGCTGAGAGACTTTTGAATCTGAATTCCCCCTTAAAGCCATGGTGGAACGTGTTGGAATGCGTTGGATCTATTCGAATCATTTTGGATCTTTGTTTATATATTTGGGACCCTCATTTGAAGTATGTAATATTAGGGGTTTGGGATTGCACGAATCACGGATTACTCACTTCCAAACCACTTTGCCCAGTGTGATTCCGAGGTTTCACTGCATTGATTCGGACTTCCGTGAGCAACAAGCTTCTCGGAGGACTACGTATACGTTCTTGGTAGGGAGTGAACGCTTTCAGCACCATGAGCGGCGAAACATGGGTAGGGACAGATCCCATTGTTCCCCACCTGCCAGGTGAGGGTTGTTAGATTTTAACAGCGAGCTGTTCTCCTCCTCCTCCTCCTCGGCTAGCTGTCCTCCTCCTCCTCCTCCTCCTCCTCGTCCTCCTCCTCCTCCCCCTCTAGTTTCTCCTCGACCATGTCTGCATCAACTTCCACCTCCACTTCCGCCTTGCCAACTCTTCGCCAAGCTCTTTGCCAACTCTCTTCGCCAAGCTCTTTGCCAACTTCCCAGCTCAGTGTGCACTGGGACCTCAACCTGGGACCTGCCCAGCTCAGTGTGCACCGCTGGACCTCAACCAGGGACCGTCTCAGCTCAGTGTGCACCGCTGGACCTAAACCTGGGACCGGCCCAGCCCAGTGTGCACCGCTGGACCTCAACCTGGGATTTGCCCAGCGCAGTGTGTATCGCTGGACCTCAACCGGGGACCTCCCCAGCTCAGTGTGCACTGCT